CTGAAGTCTTGACAGGCTGTCCTCTTTCTTTTCTATGTGTGTTCATGTCCATTTATGTTTACGTGAGTATGTGCATGTCAGTGTGTGCCCATGAGTGTGGAGTCAGAAGTCAGTGTAGACATTAATCTTAATTGTTCTCCATCACTCACTGAACTTGACACTAGCTCACCAGTACTGATAGGCTAGCTCCGGGGAATCTTCCTGTCTCTTACTTCCCAGCACTTGTGATTCTGAACACATGACATATACAGTTTTTGTGCTGGGGATCCAAACTCAGGTCCTCAAGCTTTCTCTTTACTTTTATTAGCTGATTCAGACCCTGGCAGCTTCTTTTTTAGGAATCCAAAGCCCTCCAGGGGTGGCTATGTATACTTGTAATCCCAGCATCCAGGAGCTGGGAAGCAGGAAAATTGAGAATTGGAGACCAGCCTGGCCTACATATCAAGATCCTATCTTAAAGAGAAAGTGGGTAGTGGAGCATCCTAATGGCCAAAGTCACCCTCTAGTTCTAAAAGAAGGGACAGAGCACCAGAGGGGCTCAGTTCTCTGTACCATCTGACTAGGAAGCCTCTGTGTTAATCTAAGCAAAGGGTTCTGTTTGCATCTCTTCTTCATTTTTATAGCATACACACACATGTGTGCACATGCACACACACACACACAACACACACAACACACACACAGGCATGCACACAACCAGCATGTGTGTTCCCCCACATTGCTTCTCTTGGCAATTGGGATCAGCATACTTGAGCTGTCCTCTTGAGTGTGTGATGAGGGCAAGTCTGTGCTTCAGTCATGAGGACAGTAACGATGAGGACAGTAACATAAGAGTTGTCACAGAGGCTTACATGAGTTTTTAAAAACAGTCACAAGCCTGTCTTGTGCTATTTTAATCCTTCATATATAAGTTATACTTCACAATATATGAATACATCTACTCCTGGGTTTCAGCTTTTGAAAATCTTAAATATGGATAAAACAAATATTTTGACCACACTCCTTGCCTTCCCCAGTGGTGACCATGACGGGAAGTTGCTGTCTCCCTAGACTGTTCTACAGACACACTTACTTATAGGCTCTCAAATCACATATGTGCTTTTGTGCAATCGTGTGATAAGGACTTTTCTGCGGCTTGCTTTCTTCTCGTAGTAGCAGATATCAGAGACATTTCCGCCTCAATACTGCGTCAATTTCGTCAACTGGCCCCTGTCAAGACTGGGTGGTTTCCAGTAAAGCTTTGTTAGAACCCGCCCTGCAAGAATGGCCCAGGGCTCTCCACTCCTGCACTGTGCTGGCATTTCTGTAGGACAGACCTGGTCCACAAGTTCTTTTTCATGCTGTTCAACACATTGCAGCCCCAGCTTTTTATATTCAGCCTTTGTCTGCTGATGGCTACGGTGTGCTCTCCCAGAATGCCTCAGCCTCACCTCTGAGCCATGTTGGAGAGCAGAACAAACAACAGATATAAGCTTGATTCCCAGTGTAGCAGGCTCAGGCCAACTGTGGCCAGAGTCTGTAGATCAGTGTCTGTCAACCTGTGGGTCATGACCCCTTTGGGAGGGTTGAACGACCGTTTCACAGGGGTTGCATATCATTCATAACAGTAGCAAAATTAGTTATGAAGTAGCAAGGAAATAATTTTATGGTTGGGGTCACTACGACATGAGGAACTGTATTAAAGGGTCGCAGCATCAGGAAGGTTGAGAACCACTGGTGTGGATGCAGTCCTACTGACTGGGGGGACTAGAACAGGGTCCCCCCATACACACAAACCCACTCTGCCCCAGCTCTACCAGCACAGGGGTGTGATCAGGTTCCAGCACTAGATATGTGGTCATTGACAAGCCAATTCCCCTCTAAGACCCCTGACCTTAACAGGGACAATGCTCACCTGTCAGCATCACAGGGACAGTGAGTTGAGATACCGTATTAGCACGTACAAGGACTGTCACACACTCCATGTACATTACTCATATTCCAGCCCTGCACTGCCTCTGACCCCATCCCACCCCCTCCTGCAGTCCTGCAGCTGACCTCTAACTGGACTTTCCAGGTGTCAACAGTTGACCTTAGTTTGCAACTAGTATGTTAACTGTAAACAAGGTAACCTGCTGCCAGCTCAGAAGGTTGGCAATGCTTCAGTCACCATGGAGATGCTAGCTGGTTACTTTCCCCCTTGTAATGAATGCTTGCAATGGGATTTTTAAAAATTATTTTACACTTATTTGTGTGTGTGTGTGTGTGTGTGTGTGTGTGTGTGTTTGTGCACAAGCATGTCACAATGTGAGTGTGGAGATTAGAGGACATTCATAGAAGTCATTTCTCTCTACTGTGTGGGTTCAAGCAATCAAATCCAGGCCACCAGGCTTGATAGCAAGTACCCTTATCTGCTGAGCCATCTTGCTGCCCTTATGATGGAATTCTGATGATGTTTGTTGCCCTCATTAAACTGTCAGTTCTCTGAGGGCAAGTTCCCTGGAACATAGTAGGTGCTCAGTAAATATGAGCAGGCACAAATAAGTAAAAAGCTTCCAGCTGGCTGTCAGGCATGAGGCTGCCCCAGGGGGATGGTAGCCCCTTTGGGGCAGGCCACCTCAGCTAGCACCATTGGGATGAGCGTCCAGTGCCAGGGTCAAGCACAGGAACAACAGTCATTGTCCCACTCTTTTCTACAGCCAGCTAGCTAGCTGTTCTGGAGGCCACTGGGTGGGTGTTCCTTGAAGGGGCACCCCCAAACCTGACCAGGTCCAAGCCGTCTAGGTTGAAAGATTCTGTTTCATGGGCTCACCCAGGGGTGACCAGGCTCTGGGAAATCAACCAAGCACTGCTGATTGATAAGCCAGCTCAGCGATTTATTAACTTCTGCTTGGCAGCTTTGCCTGCTAAACAGCCCGCAGCATTCGAGCTCTCTCCCCCCACCCCTGCTTGCTTGTTCTCTTTGCAGAGGAAATTTCACTTAGGAAGCCAAATCTCATTTTGCCAAGTAGAATGGAGTAAAACGATAGCGAAGAATAATGGTAGTCCAGGTCTCTGTACAGTCAGCGGCGGTATGACCCTTGTTGCTATCCTGCTTTGTAAAATGAGATCACATGGCTGAGTTGATTCCTGAAACCTGGAGCAAGGACTCAAACCTCAGCCTTCTGGCTTCAGCCTATGTTGGGGGGGGGGGCTTGTCCTTAATGCTGCCGTGCTCTGGGGGACCCAATCCTTGCACAAAGGGCCCCCTCAACCCTTACCAGGGCTCCCCATTTTCCTTTTGTTAAAGCTGGGCAGAGTCCCCTCAGAATCTCTCTGCCTCCCTGATGTGCTCATTAGCAGCCTGTTCTCGGGAGGATGCTTCTCCTCCAGACACAGCAGAAGAACCCCAGTAACAGCTATGGTTCATTAGGCGCCTCTGCCGGCTGTGGACCAGGTGTCTTGCACACAGAATGGTTATTGCGGTCTCACAACAGCCCTGTGAGGCAAGCACCCTCATCTGGGGATTTCACAGGCCAAGAGGAGGTTCGGTGTCTTGTTCATTCTCCCAACTGAGTGAGTGTCAGGACAGTCTCCAAGTCAGGTGGCTTTCAAGACTGAGCTCAGTCACCCCCCTCCACTCCACCTTCAAGGGGACCCACCTCATGTACCACGTGCTGGAGTTGTTGGAGTCTCTGATCCCTGTGCTTTGTGGCAAGGATCCTCTCGGGGTTTGCTGTGGGAGCAACTCCAAGGAGTCTGGGTCCTGGGATGGGAGGAGTTCTTGGATGGGGTGAAGGAAAGGGATTGGGACATCTAACTTCCTCTTGAACAAGAAAGAGCTCTCGCTCCCCAGACCTTATTATAGCAAGACCCAGCTTTCACCTAATGATGTCCAGGTCCCTCCCCCATCATTAAGCAGTGAACCCCAGTAAACACACAGATTTGTGTCCCTGGTGGTTTCCAGCTCTTCGTCCCTGGCTTGCATTTGTTACCGTGTGTGTGTGTGTGTGTGTGTGTGTGTGTGTGTGTGTGTGTGTGTGTGTGTGTGTGTTGGTGTGCAGGCCTTCCACATGCAAGTGATGAAAGAGCTACGCAGAACATGAATGAATCTAATGAAATCTCAACCTTTGTGGATTCAGTTCTTCCCCTTTTAGACACTGGGAGACTTTGGGGCTCCATCCTCCAAAAGATGTCCCTACCTGCCTGAATCCATATGTTGCTTACAAGGGGTTTCTGCTGCCAAGATTGAACGCAGGGGAAAGCTGTAAGGGAGGGGCAGAGTCTCTGTGGACAGTGGGAAGGGCTGGCAGGGGTGATTGGGGACAGATGGGAGCTGTGGCTAAGGCAGTCTGTGCAAAATCATGGTAGGCCCAGAAGGTTCCCCTGGGAGAGCAGGAGATACATTAATCCTGGGTGCTGCAGAGAGCAACAGAGCGAAAAGGTTAGGTGTGTGGGTACTGGAGCCAGACTGCTCAAACCCCAGGTTCTCCATTTCCCTGCATGAGTAAACTTAGATAAATATTTAACGTCTCTGGCCTCAGTTTCCTCTAGTGATGGCAATTCTACTGGAAGGGGCTGATGTCTGTAAAGCATTTAACAAACCCCAGACTATCTAAGTATGCATTTACCCTCAAACACACAGCAGGGCCTTGGACAGCAGCATGAAAACTCTCACTAGAATGCCCTTGCTTCAGGAAGCCCTCCCTAAGTGCCACACTCTCCCAGGACAGACTCTTAGCTAACCCTCAGCACTGCCAGAAGACACTTTGTATTACTGTGGGGTTACTCTCATCTCACTAACAATACCCCACCACCCCCAGATTTCTACTTCAGGGGGCAGGGACCCTGCCTGCCTGCTGCAGCCTGGAACAGAGTAAGCTCAGTAAATAGGTGCTGGATATGATTAAGGGTAGAAGGTGTTGGGAAAATTCCAAGCTCTGGGCTGTTACTAAACAGCCAGGTAATAAAACCAGCAGCTCAGCTCCCTTAGAGTGCGTGTTGACTGAATATCTGACTTCTTGTTCTTTCCTTCCTTCCAGTTCCTGGCATTTGATACCCAGTTGCTAATGGGCAACCGTCGCCACTCGCTGAGTCCCGAGGAGTATATTTTTGGAGCCCTCAACATTTATTTAGACATTATCTATATCTTCACCTTCTTCCTGCAGCTTTTTGGCACCAACCGAGAATGAAGAGCCCTCCCCCCATCCCTACCCCCCTCCAGAGAATGTCCCTTCCCTGTCCTGTCACCCTTGGTGTGCTCCAGTAAGTCCAGACATAAACTTGCTGCCACCAGCTTGTGAGCAGCCGCTCTCTCCTGCAGCCTTACCTTATGCAGCTTGTACAAATGCCATCCTTGGAGCCCTAAAGATCTGAGGCCACACCATCCCCTGTGGTGCCCCTGGCACCCAATTACATCTTCCAAATGGGACAGTCAAGGCTCAGGGCACCTCTAGACTTGCAGACCCAGGGAGTGAGTGGAGGAAGCCCCTCAGAGGTGGGAAGGAGACCCCAGAAAACCTGGCTGAGACGATGACTCCACCGAGTCTCCTAGGGCTTCATTTTCTCTTTCAGGTTGAACAACCACACTTTGTAAGGAAAAAGGCTGAGGGGACATGGCTGGAATATAGGGACAGGACACTGTGGTGTGAGGGTGAAGCTGACCAGGCTGTCCTTCTCTCGGGGTTAGGGCTAGTAGCTTGTTAGGGACCTGGATAATATAAAAAGAGTAGGAATGCTTCCATGACTTGCCTCAGTTTGCCCTCCTAGGTCATAGGACAGGGGAATGTGTCTAAGTGTGAGCCTGTCCTGAGCTCTTCCAGGCAGGGGAAGGCAAGTGAGGCCACTGGGAGGACTAAACAGGAGGCAATGATCTATCAGACTGCATGCACTGAGAAGGCAGGACTAACACCCGATCTCTCTTTCCAGCCTGTGCTGTTCCCACAGGCCTGAGGGGGAAGTGAGGCCAGGAGGCCGGGTGGGAGCAGTTCTAGCTACTGGACCAGCCCTTACCAGTGGCTGCCTTTAGTAACCCTTCCACACTATTTCCTAAGCCTTTCTCTATCTTCTGCTACATCCGGTCTTATCTTCAGCAGGGCCTCCTGAGGCCCTAGGAATTGAGGCACCCATGTCCCTTCCCCAGCTTCCCTGGCCACTTAGCCCTGGGCCCTTGCCCCCTTCTCTCCTCCACATCTCTGTAATTTGGAAGCTGCCCAGCTCATGGTCACAGCCAGGGCCAATCCCTTGAGCCTGTCCCATGTGATGAGGCAAGGACTCCTTATCGGCATCCAGGCGGCTGGGATCTCAGGCGGAGTGTGGAGTGTGCGTCAGCCACCCTGTCCTGGCTGAGTGCCTGCTGGAGAGGGGACCAGGGGGCCACACCTGGGGCAGCATGCAGCCCACATATACACATAGCCAGCTCTAGGCCAGTGGAAAGTTACTGGGTGGAGGCTAGGAGGCTCTGTTTGCCCCCAGGAAAAGGGGACTAGGTAGCCTATTCATCCCTGTCCCTCCCACCCTTTCTACTTCCAGCCTTCAAGGAAGATTACAGAGGCATTTGAGATTTTTCTCTATCTTGGATATTTGAGAAAGGAAGAAACTGAGAATGGAGAGGGGGTGAGGGTGATGTGATGGGTAGTTGGGGTGAGTGCTGGTCTAAATGACCCCACTGCTGCAAGCCAGAAAGGGGGGGGCTGCAATGGTGATCATCACTTCCCCATTGCAGAGGCAAAGCCAAATGGCTCAGAAAGGCTTGTGGCAAGTCCATTATCTAGTAAACCTGGGGGTCTGCCCGCAGTTGCTTCTTTCAAGGGCCCCTCCAGTCTGAGTCTGGGCTGGATTGAGGTTTGTGTACCCCATAGATGTTGGTGGTCAAGCCCTGGCATCTCTGGGGGTTTGTTATCCCCCACACCCCATGTCACCCAGCCTGGCATTCCAAGATGCTGAACTGAGGTTTTCACTCCCTGGAAGTCAGCTGGGAGGCAGGGCTCCTGGCTTCTGATCTGGCCTTGCTACCCACAGACCTGTGTTTTGTCTGTGACTCTGTTTCTGTATCTACAAGATGAGTGTCTCCAATCAGTGACAGTGCAGGGCAGGGAGAGGCACCAAGACACTTCCACTTGAGTGCCTCTCCTAATTCTCGGACTTCAGTTCTAGAAAAGTTTAAAGGCCCTTCCCCACTGACCTGCCACCCTCACACTGGCTGGTTTCCCAGAATCCACTTGTCCAAGTCCTCCTCTTCTGGGATAATCTGTGCAGAGACTGAGGATTGAGAAATTTTTTCCAAGACTAAGTTACAAAAATTGGGGGAAGGAGCAAGCCCTGGGCCATAAATAATGTGACCAGGACACTAATCACAGTGATCTCAAAGATGGCTCAGCTGTGGAAGTGGTGATGCCTGCCAGCAGGGTTTGCTTCAGGCTGCTACCCAGCCTGCAGCTAAACTGGCAGTAGGACCAGAGAAAGCCTTGGTGTCGACCCCTGATAGAGCAGTGAGGAGTCCCAGGGACACCTGGGTGGGTCTTGGCAGGAGGAAGGGCGGGAACAAGAATGCAGGATTATGAGGAATGCGGGATTATGAGAAACAGAAGCTGGCCAGGTGCAGCAAACTGTGGAGGAGGAAGGACTCCCGCTGGCCCCTCACATTTTTAGCTCGGGTGGGGCCGGACCTACGACAGGGTAGGTTGGATTTCATAAGTCTTGAGAGAGCCAGGAATCTGTCAATGAGGAGAGCAGAAAGTCCTCTGGGGCAGTATGGCAGATAAGGAGGTCCCCGGAAGAAGTAGCCTCATTAAATCCCTCACTCCCCACACCAATTCTTGGATCCATGTACAGATCTTTCGGTGTAGCCCGAGGAAGACACATGATTAAGAATCTTGGTTCTTCCATTCCATACCCGTCTCCTGTGGGAATCAGGGTCCCTCAAGCACCCTTATTTCAAAAGGCTGAGAAGGGCGTGGAGCGGGGTGGGGGTGGGGGGGCGTGAAGATGGGAATTTTAAACAAGGACCATGCTGCCCCCTTCTGGTTGTTAGAGGGAAAGCAGAGTCATTCTGTCTCCGGTGACAGTGCAGACGGGCAGGACTTGGGACCCCTGCCCTGAGTGTCAGAGGACAAGACCCATCTGCCACACACCCAGACGCTGCTGCCCTTTTGGTCTCAGCTCCCACGAGCTCCCCAGGGTCCCTCCCGTGTGCCCTTCTCTGACCTCAGCCGCTGAGGACCTGTGACTGATTGGAAATAAGAATAAAAGCATTTACTAAGACACCTGAACTGTTTGCTTGTGGCCTGTGCTGGCTTTGTAGAGTGTGTGACGTGTCACTCAGCAGTGGGATGTGGCTTTCATGCGGAAGCTCCCTGTTATTCCCATCTTCGTTTTCACGGGAAAGGTGAGGGCTCCTCCTGCTCAGTATACCCTTTCCTGGGAGCCTTCTGCAGACTGACCCACCTTGTGTGGTATGGAGGAGCCTGCCCTTTTCCGGCCCTTCTGATAGAGTAGTATTCCTTATTTTGAGCAAGTGTTTCCTTTAAATGAGTATTGGGACACCCCGAAAGCAGCAGCTTTGAATCTATAAAACTTAGGCTTCAGGAGGAGAGGGACTGACTTGTGCACCGCAGAGCCACACAGCTTTCAGCACATGAGTAGAACATGGTTTGAGAGCAGGGAGGGAGGAATCTACACCAACCCTTTTATTTAATTAAGAGGAAACTTAGGAGCAAAAGTTTCAGTGAGCAGCCCAAGCTTACGAACAAATTAGCAACCGGGAGTGGAATCAGAAGGCAAATCAGGTAATGATTGTATCGCAAGGTTCCTATGAGTGATGGAAAATTTTATGTCAACTTGATACAAAGTCAGAGAGGAGGGAACCTCAATTGAGAAAATGCCTCTATAAGATCAGGCTGTAGGCAAGCCTGAAGGGTATTTTCTTAATGATTTATGGGGGAGAGCCCAGGCCATAGTGGGTAGGGACATCCCTGGGCTGGTGGTCCTGGTTATGGAAAACAGGTTGAGCAAGCCAGTAAGCAGCACTCCTCCATGGCCTCTGCATCAGCTCCTGCCTGATGCAGGTTCCTGTCCTGTTTGAGTTTCTGTCCTGACCACCTTTGATGATGAACAGTGATGTGGAAGTGTAAACTGAATAAACCCTTTACAACTTGCTTTTGGTCATGGTGTTTCATCAAAGCAATGGTAACCCTAACTAAAACACATGGTAGCCAGGTATGAGGGAGGGAACATGATCACCCTGGAGGGGGAATATTATGCTTTTTTTCTAACAAGATTTTAATATAAGTTCATTTGGGTTTGAGAAAGAAGCTATAGCAGGAGTCCGGGATGGTGAAGAGACTATTAGTAGCTCTCATTAAGCAACCAGTACATACAAAGTATGCCATGGCCTGGAAGAAGCACAGCAACCACACAGCCTCAAGTCCTGAGCAAACACTCCTCCCTCCCTCCCTCCCTCCCTCCCTCCCTTCCTACCTTCCTTCTTTCCTTCCTGTTTTTTGTTTCTTTTGTTTGAGACAGAGTCTCACCATGTAGCCCAGGCTGGCCTTGAACTCACAGTCTTACTACCTGGAGTTGGGATTATTTATATGCATGTACCACCCACCTGGCTTGTAATGTTCATTCATGGAACCAGTGCTGAGGTACAGTACAGGGTACCAGAGGACCTCTGACTCAGGCCTCTGATAGCAGGGATGGGTGGGGAAAGGAAACACTGGACTGCTTTGCTTCTCCTAGACCACAGCCCTTCATCTCATCCCCAGACTGTCTTTGTTAGTTTCCTGAGGCTGCTGTAACAAGTGACCGTGAACTGGGCAGCTTAAAACAACAGACATACTTTGCTCCACCACAGTTGTGGAGGCCCGAGACATGCCTGTTCCCTCAGGAGCGATGATGGCTGATAGTTTTCTTTAACATCCTGTGGTACCTTTCAGTCTCTGCCTGCTTCATCACATGGACTCTTTCCTGCCTCTCCTCCTCCTTTCTTTAGTGAACAAGACTGTGTCTAGACCTATAGCCTGCTGCACATCTAGGATAACAGGCTCAGTACCAGATCTTTAGTCTAGAAAAAGATAAATTTCCGCAAGGCCCCATTCACACACATGGGGATGGTTAGGAGCTGGACATAGCAAGTAGGCCACTGTCCATCCCACTACACAATCCACCCCCTCTAGAGGCAGCTGCTGACTCCACACAACCCCCCCTCCATGGCTGAGAGAGCCTTCATTCCTGTTGCCAGGCCCCCAGTGAAGCTGGACAAATTCCACGGCCTGACCCAGATTACATATACCATCCATCTCTACTCAAGTGTGTCTACTCCCAGAAAACCTGTTTTCTGACTCCCAGACTATGCCCTCCTTCACCCCACAGATAGTCACAACCCCACAGATAGCTCTTTTCCGGGAAAAACTCCTCCAAAAGAAGCCAGCCCTAGCTGTCCCTTACTATAATACCTCTGGTGCTCTTGAATCATTATGTAAGTAACCCAAATGCTCTGGGCTACCATGCTGGAGAGACCATGGGCAGGTACTCTTCTAGGAGTGGCAGCTCAGCCTTCCTGCCATGCCTACCCAGGTGGCAGCCATATGAGGAAGAAGCCAACTTGGAAGTAGCCACTCTAACTTCAGCTTCTCCTGGCATCAGGCATTGAGTCTTCCAGACTGAGGTCCAAGATGTCATGGCACACAGACAAATCTGTGTCCTGTCCAAATTCCTAATCCACAGACCCTATGAGCACAGTTAAATGACATGGTTTGGGGCCACTAAGTCTGAAGTCATTTACCAGGCAGCAGGTCCCCAAAGTCATATGTTGTGTGGAGTGGTGTATGAGGGACATTAAAATGTGTCTTCCTAGTTCATATTGAGAGCAATCTTTCTCAAACCAACCCGGAACAGAGCTGATTTAGATGTAATTCTAGACCTCAGGCCTGAGGCTGACGCTATAATGGACTGGGATCTGGGGATGTCTTGGTAGGGGATGAATGTATTTGGATGGAGCTGGAGGGTAAACTGGAGCATTTAAAACAATGGCTCCAAATTCTTTTGCTCAGTGGAATGTGCTGGAAGTGATGTATGTATGTCTCAAGAGTTCTCTGGCCCATCAGTTTTAGCAGAAATTCTAAGCAACTCTTACTGTCCCTCCTTGTTTCATAAGTTTTTCCTTGAGCAAATCATTGTGGCACTGGGGTAGAAGGTGCTGCTTCAATTGGTTGTGATTTATATATTTGCCCCCCACAACCATGAAGTGCATGGCTTTGCAGGCCTGAAACTCCAGAACTCAGTGTAGAGACAGGTAGACCCTGGGAGCTCACTGTCTGACCATGCCAGCAGAAATAATAAGCTTCCAGTTCAATGAGAGATCTTGTCTCAAGGTAATCAGGTAGAAAGATATAGAGTAGTGGTTCTCAACCAGTGGTCACTAACAGACATCCTGCATATCAGCTATTTACATTATGATTCACAACAGCACCAAAATTACAGTTATGAAGTAGCAATGAAATAACTTTGTGGTTGGGAGTCACCACAACATGAGGAACTAACTGGATTAAAGAGTCGCAGTGTTAGGAAGGTTGAGAGCCACTGATATAGAGGGTGGTATCCAATGTCCTGCTTTAGCCTACATACGTGTGTGTTACCTACACATTAATGTACATGCACCATATATCACACACAGGCATGCAAACACACATGCGTGTGCTCTCTATCTCTCTCTCACACACACACACATAATATATATCATACATACAAACACACATGCGTGTGAGCTCTCTATCTCTCTCTCACACATACATAATATATATCATACATACAAACACACACGCATGTGAGCTCTCTCTGTCTCTGTCTGTCTGTCTGTCTGTCTGTCTGTCTCTCTCTCTCTCTCTCTCTCTCTCTCTCTCTCTCTCTCTCTCACACACACACACACACACACACACACACACACACACACCACACGGGGATGGCTAGCTGCCTAGTATAGTTGGAGCACATTGGATATGGAAGAGAGTGGGGAGTGAAGACCCAGACATACAGAAGAGACATGCTATGGAGAACCTGCCATACCTGCAAGGAAGGGAACTCAATTCTGCCAGCAGAAGTCACATCAAAAGTGGGTAAGCAGAGGAGTAAAGAAGTCAGATCGGCATTTGGGAAACAACTCTGAAAGACAATTTATTCTCTGGCTAGAAATCTCATTCCTAGATGTTTATCCTAAATAAGTAATTTCCAAGGAGGAACAGGTTTGTTCGCAGGAATATTGTCCGTAGGAGTAAAAGTTGGGACGAGTAAATATTTAATAATAAAGGGCTGCTCAACAAATGATGGTGGCATGCTATTAAATATTTATCAGCCACAAAAAAATGATGAAACAGGTAAACATTTACACAGTGCTTCATAGTTTGAATATGAAATGCCCCCCACAGGCTCCTGTGTTGGTGCTGAAGTTTGGAGTGTGCAGGAGGCTTTGAAGTCAGGCCTAGACTCAGGAAATAGGTACTTAGGGGTGCATTGTTAGAATTTAAGAGGAATGGCCTCTCATCTAATTCCCAACAGAGTTCTAATTTCTCATGTCCCTTCCGACTACATCCCTGCTAGCATTCTGGTCTTTGGAGCTCCTAGCACTGCTCATTAAACACCATCACCGCATCTAAGCCTCTGGACTAGATCTTGTCTCAACTCTTCCATTTTCTTTCTGCTTTCTGCCTGCCACAAGGTGGACTGCTCTTCTAAGCGCTCCCACCATGACATTCAGCCTCTACTCAGGCTCACAGAAATGGAACTAGCCAACCACAGAGCAAAGCCGCTGAAGCAATGAGTCACTTGAGCCTTCTCATCTTGAGCCACTGATGTCGGGTATTTTGCCTCAAACCAATAGTGGCAGGAAGACCATTTCTGTGATGGCACAACCATATGGATCCTCAGCCTTTATGGTTATT